AGTGAAGCAACGTCCTCCACAACTAGACTGAAGAACAAAATGACAGCAACTTGTCTGTTCCCCTTCCCCCAATTCCCCAGCACTGTTCCCTTCCCCCCAATACCCCAATAAAAATCTTTTAAAAAAATCCAAAAAACAAAAAATCCAGGGCCTCTGTGTTTTTTATGAGTTTTCTCATGCAAAACAAAGTTTGCAACCATTGTTCACAAGGAATTGTATTGAAGTGGTTCTCAAAGTATGATTCTTGCACGAAGGGCCTCAGTATTACCAAGGAACCTGTTAGAAAGGCACATTTTTGAGCTCCAGCCCCAGACTCAGTGAATCAGGAACACTGAGATGTGGCCCAGCTGTCTAAGAAATGGGCCAGGTAAAGAAAGTGTGCATTTTTGGCACACCCAGCAAGGTGTGCAGGAGTGAGAGCCAGGGAGGCTTTCTCAACACAGAGTCGATACCATTGCGCAGAGCAATGCTTGGAATCAACTTCTTGTCCCTTCAGGACTCTTATCGATCCAGCCTTAGAAGGCAGATCAGGTTGTTGTTCTTGTGGAGAGGAGGGTTGAGAGATGGGTACATCTCAGACTCTTGAATGCTCCACAGCACCTGGAGTCCTGACTCAGACTGACTCAGCTATGGCATTGATTTCTAGCTCAGCAGTGCCCAATCTTGGCTACATATTAGAACCACTTAGGGAACTTCTAAAAATTTCAGTGCTCTGGCCATACCCCAGACCAATTACATCAGAGTCTCTCAGAGTCAGAGCCAGGTATCAATAGTTTTACCTTCTCAGGTGATTCCAATGTTCATACGAATTTCAGATGTCAGTTGAACACTTTCTATAAAGTCAGGTAGGGTTTGTACAGAGGGAGATAAGGTAGTAGGACACGTAGAAAGTTTGAAAGCACATGGCCAGTTGGGAATCAGCAGAAAGTTTGGTATGGGTGCAGCCTGTAAGCTTTTCACTCTTTGCCAATGTCAATTATTCCCCTAAGTTTTCCTAGATTCTTCCACCAGAAGCCATCTTTGCAGGCTCTGCATTTCTATAGCACGTTGAATCTAATATTATGAGCTACATTCATTACCTTGTATCATAGTCCTCTATATGTTTTTGCCCTATACAACATTGTGAGCTTCTAGGAATAAGGACCCGGGTTTATTCATCTCTTCTCTACCAGAATACGTACTTTGAATGTAGGCATCCAAAGATATGAGTTTAACTGACATCTATTAAGTGATGTGGAAATGTCAAGGAAAGTAAAGATCATCGATGGCAAAGCACCCCCCACGGCAGTACTTTCTAGCCTACTGTGCTTCAAAACCTTCCACAAGTGGATTGATAACTCTTGACTCCAAAGTCTTTATCAAAAAAGACAGACAATCCCTACACAAAATGTCTGGACAGATTACCCAAGTGAAACTTCTGGGAAACTCAACATCCAAAGCATTTAGTACACACTCAACTCCAAACTGGAGCTTTTCCATCAGTGGAATGAGCCAAATGAGTGAGGTCTGATGGAGAAAAATAATTAGAGCATGATTCTTTGGTGTGCCTTGGAGTTACAGAGCCATGTCTGCTCGTGGTCAGAGTGGTCAAATGCAACAAAATGAATGAAGGAATGAATATGAAACTCTGGCAAGCCCCTGGGCATAGGTGGCAATTCCACACAAAAGCCTTCTTTAGGAAATTCACATCAACTGCATGACACATGTTGTTCTTTCCCATGGCCTGGCCCTCTCACTCACCATCCCCATAGCCAGGGAGACTTGGGTAAAATCGCTACAGGCACTAGGTGACCACAGGAATGCCTTCAGGAGGCAGGCTGGTGTCAAAGGTCCAGCGCATAAGCTCTCAGGAATCCTTGTGAGAGTGTGGAGCCAAGGAACAGGAACCAGGGGAACACCTTGGCTCAGAAGGTATTTATGAGAGAAGAGAAGCAGAGAACAGGAAAGCCTCCAGCTAGTCCTTTGGAATCTGGCAGCCATTTCTGTCAGCTTTCCTGTTCCTACATTGATGCTCATTGCTTAAGTCCTGGGGGTACTAGATTTTTTAAATTGCCTCCTTGTTCAACTCTTACAAGAATTCGTATCTGAAAGCTATTTGACGTGTTGGGACATTTGTCTGTTGTAAGAGATGCGGGAGCTGGGGCTCAGTTGCGCAAGGTCACACGGTGGGTAATCTGACAGAGGCAGAGTTTAGGATCCACGCCTCCTTCCAGCAGTTCTGTTGGTCCCGTGATAAGGCTGGCACTCAGCACTGAAACAGGTGGACTATTTGCTGCTCCTCATTTGCCTCTACTCACTGCTCCAATGCAGACAGGCACCCACAAAAAGTGGGATAAGGCAAGGGAGGGACCTTAGAAGGCAAGGGGGGCACCCTGCCTAGAGGAAGGAGCAGTAAGCTGTGATGCCCAAGGGCCAGGGGTGCGCCCTTCCTTCGCCTTTTCACAGGTCTATAAACAGGCTAATCACTTTTCTCCTTAAGCCTCTGCAACTGGGCCAACTGGCCCTCTAGTGCTTTCTTCACAGCCTGAGATGGAGTTTCAGTGCTTCCTTGGCAAACTGTGAAGTCATGTACAAATTTCTGTAAATGATTAGAGTCCTAACCTCATTAAGCCGGATTTTCTTCCTCTCCAAAGAAGGGAGTAATCCTATCCACTCTGCAGAAGGGACCCCGCGTGTAGAGCTGCGCCCGGGCTGGCCTCCAGCGGCGCTCGCTCTCTGGCTGGCACTTGGGGATGTGCAGCCCTTGGCATCCCGGCGGCTGCGGCAGGGAGCCGGCAGGGCGCGCGCTGAGCGCCGGCTCGCGGCTCGCGGAGGCTCGGGCAGCAGGAGGAGCGTGTGAGCTGTGGGCGTCCCTTTAAGAGCAGTCGGCCGACCCGGCCTTCGCCTCAGTCCTCCGCGCGTCGGCGGTCACCTGGCGCTCGCAGGGCTGCCAGATCGAGGCGGGGCCGGCGCTCTCGCCCGCGGTGGTTGAGAAGGGGCCGGGACGCCAGGTGCCGGGAGTGGTCTGGGAGCGTGGCGGTCCCGCGCCTCTCTGCGGCGGAGGATGCGGGAGCGTGTTTGGGTGCCTCTGCCGCTGTTGCTGCTGCTGCTACCGCCGCCGCTGTGGGGCGGCCCCCCGGACAGCCCGCGCCCGGAGCTTGAGCCCGAGCCGGAGCCTCTGCAGCCCTTCGATCTGCTCTACGCCAGCGGCGTGGCCGCCTACTACAGTGGGGACTACGAGCTGGCCGTGCGCGACCTGGAAGCCTCGCTGCGCAGCCACCGGCGCCTGCGGGAGATCCGCGCGCGCTGCGCCCGCCACTGCGCCGCGCGCCGCCCGCTCGCGCCCCCCGGTGTCGGCCCCGGAGCCGAGCTGCCCTTCTTCCGCGCCTTGCTGGAGCGGGCGCGCTGCTACCGCGGCTGCGAGACCCAGCGCCTGGGGGGACCCGCGTCCCGCCACCGCGTCAGCGAGGATGTGCGCAGCGACTTCCAACGCAGAGTGCCCTACAACTACCTGCAGCGAGCCTACATCAAGGTACCCAGAGCGCGCACCGAACACCCCTCTGCGGCTCCAGGCGCTCTCTCTCGAATCCGCCCCACTGCTCTTGTCTCCTTGCCAGATTGGGTCTCCTGTAACTTTTCTGTCTCGTGTTTGTATATCTAGATATCTGGTGGCCAGGGGTCAGTATCCAACACTAGATGAACCTGAGCGAGTCTTTAGCGCTTTTGGCATCTTCTTCAAAAAGGACTGTACTGATAAGATGATGTTTAAACTACCACACAGCACTACTTTCTGAGACTTTGGCAGCGCTGGGTCTAGCATAAGGTCTTCTCTCGCTTCTCTTGGTCTAGTCTCACCTCCATTTCTTTGCTGTCTCTACCCCTTATCCCTCCTATGCACTAGTCTGCACTTTTTACTCTGAAGTGTAAAAGGAAGCATTCTCAAAACAGAGCTTAAAGGAGATTTAGTTCTGAAACAGATTTCTTTCTCTTCTCCCTGCATCTCAAAAAAAAGAAAAAGAAATTAAGATCAAAGGTTAAAGAGAAGGAATGCGTGGAAGAGGTGAATCTGTGTGAGGCAATCTCACTAAGGCTTCCAGTTGCTGGAGGTAAGCGTTGGACTGGGTATTGGGCATCAGGTGCCCAGTCCTCTCCTTCTGGTTTTATTTTTGTGTAATCAACTTGCCTGAAGTTAGTGTCAGAAGGCATACAGCATATATTGGCATTTCCCCCACATCCGCAATTTTGAAGATCTATCTGGGTGCTTTCAAGCAGAGAGAATTCAGCCTGTGTTCCTCACCCGTCCCCGCCCCCCTTTTCCTCTCACTCGCGCACATTGCTTTGAATTTACACTTTCTCCCTTTTTACTTTTTTATGTCAGTATATCAATGTCTCTTCTACAGCTGTTAGAGAAGTGGCAACTTTGGGGGTTCCTTGGTCAAGCTAGCCAATGGGCTGGCCAGGCTGCATTTCTGGGGTGGTGAAAATACACACCATGTGTAGATAGCCAAAATGTCTTTTGCAGCTCATCCCTCAAGGCCTCTGCCCTCACAGGCGATAGGGCTCTCTGGAGATTTGCCGTTGTCAGAAGAGTTCAGGGTATCACAGCCGAGCCTGACTCTCAACTCCCAGTGTTTGGCAAAGGTGCTGGAGTTCGCTGAACTACTACTCTCTTGGGCAAGAAACAAGGAGAACGCCTGAATCCTTTCCAGAATTTGCCTTCTACTTGCTTGTGCCTCCTGATAGATTTGCTAGGGCATGTATTAAGCACAAATCTGATTTCTTTTGAATGAGTGGCCAGTGTTTGGTAGTCTTACAGAAATCAGTCAATGGTAGGCAGAGAGGGGACCTTGAGTACCTGACAGCTGAAGACACACTCAATGAGTTCCCAGAGCAGAATGTGGGTGGTCCCTGTAGCTACTCTCCTCAGGCATGTCAGATGTGAGGCTGGCTGCCCTGCTGATAGTTCTGTCACACATCTTGGGCAGATTTTCCTTTTCTCAGGTCTGGAAAAGGAATGCATATTCATGGTTAGTCCTATAAAAACAAATAACCATGAGGTAACTCTCAAAACGTGGGTTTCCTTGGTTCTGTAATTAAGCTAGCTTCGCTGTGAATGTTAACATTTATCAGTCATTTTCCGGCTCCTGTCCCCTGGTTGGAGGTCAAAGAAGGTGAAGCAAGATGCGGGTTTAACACGCCTCAAGTGTTTGCAGTGGATTCGTTACAGGAGTTAGTCTTCTATGGACATCTCTGTGGGTAAACTACTAGGTGTGGTCCGATGAACCAACAGAGTTTTAAAAGTTCTTTTAAAAGTATAATATGTGAATTCATGTAAAAAAAATACCAGCAATGTTCTGAGAGCAGAACAAGTCTTGCATCTTCTCCATATTCACCTTCACTTCTATAGGCAAAATTTCTTGGACCCACATGATTATTAATCTCTCATCGGATAAATATTTTTACCCCTTTGGAAATTTACTTTTGATGGTTGGAGTTTGCAGGGATATCTTGGTGAACATCAAATGCGGTGTATCATGGTTCCTCTCTCTCCTCCCCCATGAGCTCCATAATTTTAGCCTTTATTTGACTGCCAGGGAATTTCACTCATAAACACGCACACACACACACACACACACACACAATCTTTTGAGAGTAAAGCAAAACTCTCAAATAATTACAGAGTAGCCTTGGGCTATGACAGATGTGGATCTTAAAGTGTACCCCAATGATAGAATGAGGAGCTCCCTGCATGTGCCTTGATATAATCATGATCCCTCATGTTACTGAATTACTTTTGGCATTAGTGATACAGTTTGCACTTAAAAAGATAATCTTGGACCAAGTTGAATCAATGAGGACTTTGCAGCCAGGATTTGAGAACTGTAAATCCTATAGTACAGCCAGGACTACTGGGCTTTCTAGGGATAAGGAAGTACAGTTATTCTCAGCAAGGGGTTTACAAACTGTGGAAGCTCTTGGGACATGCTACTCCCCCACCCACCCTGTCCTCCTAGATCCTGGATAGTGGGCCACTGATGGAAGTCGATCTTTTATGCTGGTGCGTTGGAAGGGAAGAATTGAAAACTGTGAACTCTGAGTCCTGTCCAGATCCATTTCTCATTTTACAGACAAGAAGATGGAGATTCAGAGAGGGAAAGGGGTTCACCCAGGGTCACATGACTTGATTTGATGAAATGAGCGCGGGACTGGGAGTCAGGAGCCTGAGCTCTGCCAATAACTGATGCACAGGCCTGTGTTACGCCCACTGTCCCATGCCGTCACCCTGGGTCCCAGGGAATGCTGTGGTCCCCAGGGCTATCCTTCCGCCAGATTTGGACAGCTCCAGGGATGAGCAGATCCTTGTCCTACGGAATAACAGACACACACTGCATTCATCTTAAGGCCTGCTCTGTAGGCTCTTCCTTAGGACCTGGCATGTTGGGAATCTGTCTGGACAGCTATGAGGCAACAGTCCCACCTGGCTCGTGGCCACACGTTTTTGTTTAAAGGCAGGGTGAGACTCTTCAAACTTTTGATTTTTGTTATTTCAGATTGTAAGATATAGCTCATGATTCATAGCCTAAAAACTAAGATAATGCTTTTATCATAATGTTCTCTGCTGGGAAACTTTAAGTGCTTTCCCCTTACTACCATATAATGCCCACATAGTTTAATACAGCATCCACAGCCTGACTCGCCTTAAACCTTACCTGCCCCCTCTCCCCGGACTCTGCCGCCCTCCAGCCAAAGGGAACACTGGACACGTAGTCTTCCATGTCTGACACTTTTGCACATCTGGGCTTTGTTTATTCTTCTATGGAGGCATGTGGGCTCTGGAATGGGAAATGTCTGGTATTAAACTTCAGCTCCTCAGTCTCTAGCTGTGTGACTGTGAACACATTACATACACCTTCTGAGCTTTAGCTGCCCCAACTGCAAAATGGGGAAATGATAGGACTTATCTGATTGATTTAGGATAGGTTTCAGAGAAGATTTATGTAAAGCACCCAGGACAGGGCCATGTTTCTCAATAAACACTGGAGACATGCTTCTTATTATTATTCGTGATAATAGTAGATTTTTTCCTTCTCTACATGTTGAAATGGTACCTACACTAACACAAATGTACCTATTTCTGTGAGACCCTCTTTCACTTCCTGTGTAACTCCTAACAATCCATCATTTCTCCCTCCTCTGAATGTCCTCAGCAAGGAATTTATTCCTCTAATATCATGTTTCCTTTTTAACCTTGTTTTGAAGAAATTTGTATATTTGCTTATTACTTATGTGAGCTCCATGAGATCAAGAGCTCTCTTAGTCATTTTTGCGTCTCCTAAAATAGAAGTTTCCAGATCTGGATGATTATTAGATGGATGATTATTATGGATCTGAGCATTAAAAATATGATTTAGAATTCGAGATTTAGGTTCAGTAAGTCTAAGTTGGGTCCTCAGTGTCTGTAGTCCCCCAAAATACCTAAAAACAGAGGGCAGTAATAGTAAATGCTCAGTATATGTTTGTTGAATGAATAATAGCTTGGTTCCTTGTGTGTGAAATACTGTTGGGAAAGAGTTCTGTGTTGTGGCAGGAGGTTGTCTCATACTAGTTATTTGTTCTCCTGGCCGGTCTGTTGTGGGGGAAAGTCACAGAAGGACTGTTCATTGTTTGACTCTCAGTCTTTTCTACTTGCAGGCTCTGGCTAGTGTTGCAAACCTACTTTCCCTGCCACTCCGTCCTTTTTCCTAATTGAATTCTTACTACTTAAAAGTGTGCTTCAGAGGATCCTTGATGCATTGTGCCTGCATTATGTACATTTGTTGAATTTAAACAACTGAAGAGAAAGACTTTTTATCTGTGTGCTTTATAATCAGGATTCCTTTAATAGTATCTGTTTTTCTTCCAAAGTTCCCAGCGATTTAAGTAAAAAAATACAAAAAACAAACTAGTACTGTTTATTTTTCTTTACTTAAAACAAGCCTGCCCCTGCTTGTTTTGTTTCTGAGTTGGTGCTTTGTGCCATTTGACCTTTGTTTTTCTCTTCAGGATTAAAGGGGAACAAAAAGGAAATGCAATTAAGTTAAGCAATTCTATCTCCCTCCCAGGGTCATCTCGCTACTTTTTCTTGACCCTAATTTAGTTTATAGTGGTTTCTAGAAAAGAAAAAAAAAAGTGAGCTTAAGGAAATTTTTTGCTCTTCTGCTTTATAAGTTTCTTTCTTTTCTAGGTGAATGCCCTAACAACAAAAAAATTGAAACTCCAGGCCACTACGTGATATAGATCATTAGTTTAGAATGAAAACCTTTCCCAAAATCCATATTTGAACCTTTTTACCTGTATGTAGACTATGTACATTTTGTACCCTCCAATTATTTAAAATAAGAGGTTGGTTTTATGTCTTCTTGAAATAGTTGTTCTGAAATCATCCCAGTGGGTACTTCCTCAGGGGATGATGCTTTCTCCTCTCCCCCCTCACAATTAATCCTTTTTTGTGCCTGGATTATCAAAATCCCTGAATCGCCATCTTCTTGTCCC